CAGATACGTTTGGGTTTGCGTCAAAATGTATATACATGTATAAATAGCCGCTATTGGACGGAGAGAGAGGTGGACGGGTTGAAGAGGAGAGGAGGAGAGTTGAGTCCGTCCATCCATCCAAGCTCGTCTATATTTTATACGTGTAAAACAACGATCACACGGCATTTGCATACGATTACCGTCAATAGCCATTATTATTGTTTTCTTTTATATGGCTCTCGAGAATACACCACTTTTGCGTTTTCTTCCATTTTCAGATGTGAAATGATCGTTCTACATAACTAGCGTATGTTAATTTCTTTTCTTTTTCCATTTCTATTGCTCTTGTTCGAATTTGGTGTGCGACGTTTTTTTTTGTTGTTGTTGTTGTTGCTGACAACCCGCATATCCTCACAGTCCATGAAGGAAATCGACAAACGCACCTGCAAGGAAATATTTATTCATTCATTTCCGATTGCGGTACCAATACGATAATTACATAATTAGGCAGTCACATACGAGCAGGCATTCGGCTCTATATCCATCATTGGTTGTGTCATCTTCAGGAATGGTGTCTTCAGGTGCTTTGATGTCGGAAGTCGAAGCCGAAACCGCGGCTTTATTTGTATGGAAATTGGAAAGCATTTCATCATTCCATCGCCGTTCCATCATTATCATTACTTATACACTTATTACTTATTTATGTTCATTTTGTATATAATTCTACTCACTATTGTTAGTAAATCATCATTAAATTGTTCACAATAATAACAAACTTCCTGAAAGCAATGACTAAGTTGTTTTCGCATAGATTTATAGTTTTATATATCATTCAAACTAATCTTAGTATCTGCAACAGCTGTAGAAATATCTTCCAATTCACAGTATAAATTCAAAGTTTCTCTATGCACTTTTATTTCTATTGGACTTCTTGAAAATTTAATACAATTTCAACTTGCTAATCTTTCAAACTCAAATTATACACAATTTTAAAAAACAGTATAAACAAGTTCATATAGAAATATATAGCATTATTTTCAATATTACAAAAGTATATTATAGTTAACTTTATATATTACTCATGTTTAAAGTTAGAATTTCACTTGAAGTATTTGTTACTACAGAAATTATAGATGAAATTCTAATTTAATTCTTAGGTTTTCTTTATTAATTATTTTTATAGTTAGAATTCAAATAATAAAAGTTGCAGTACTGGAAACAATAAATTGATCTTTATTTCTTCACAGTTACATAAATTATAAAAGTAAATTTTTAATTTATAGTGTTATTTATTTTTTTTACAATTTTATTGACGTCCTTATTTAAAATTGTTTCCAAACGAACTTATATCAAATTTCATTTAATGAATTGTTTTAATTGCAATGTATAATCAACCGCAAGAAACTAAATGAAATAAAAATAAAACGTGCTTCAAACCATAAATGAACGTCACCATGTTTCAATTACGAGACCTTGACTTTCATACGATTATGGAAAATCAATGTCGGTTTCTCAACTCCTGGCACATATAACTAACTACATTCTAGAAAAATTAGAAAAACTACGTAGAAGTTCTCATTAATTACACACTTGCAAGAAATCTATGTTTATGAACTAAATTTATGTTATTGATATTTCTTTTGAAAATTATATTTAATAACTTACAAAAAAAGTTAAAATTATAATATTAATGTAAAATTAAGTTTAAATGAGCTCTCACATGGTTATAATTTTTAAAAAAATGTCTAGCTTATTTAATTAATAAAACAAGTTAATTAAAACTATATATTTATAAAATATTTTGTTCATTATTCTTCCAAAAACAAATTGTATTTGATTGCATATGATATAGATATCCAATAAAAATAAACTTACCTTAAAATGTTTAAATAAACAAATATGGTTTGGACTGATGGTTTGGTTGCATAACTGCATGTACTTGTTTTTGTTTTAATTCAAAGTTTTTACGTGCTAAAAGTCTCGTTGTAACTTTTTACTAGAGCCTAGGTGCTAATTGGTATTTTAAAGCCTTAAGTGGAGGGTAAATACGTGGTGCACAAACAGCGATAGTTGGAGATGTGCAGGGGTAAAAAAAAATCGCTAAATGCTCATCCGATCGAAACTTGTTTACGGCGAACCGCGACTTTATTGCGGGTAAATATAGAATGGAGGTCATTGCTTATTTCACGAATCGTTAAAAAAGGTTGTTTGCGTTGACTCATTAGTTGATGCAATCATTTACACCGGTAGTCCCACAGGTATAGTTTTCATGTTTCAAAAAATGATTTCAGAGTGGAGAAGAATTGGAGCTCAGCAATTACGATTCGACGTTGGACTGATTGACCCTTCTTGGGGGTTAACACAGTTAGCTTGGCTAGAGTATTTGGGCAGCGTATCGATCCCGATATTAATGTAATGGATTAGTTAGATGAGATGGGGTTTGTTAGTGGATTAGCTTGGTTTGTGGAAGTGGCCGGCGCTATGGAGATGGACCAGTGTTTTGGGAAAACAATGGTGTTGTATGTATATGTGTGTGTGTACACATTGGACTCTGTCGACGGGGTTCTAAAGTGTGGGAACTCACATTGTAATCCTGCATGCTAGGTAGGCCTCAGCTTCGGTCCTTCATTAGCGAACACCTTGCCGGTTGTCCGGGAGATGCGAAACCAATCCAAATGGAGAAAAAAAGAAGGACGACGTTACTCTCACGACCACTTTCACGCGTAAGGCATACGGGGTGCTGCTGTCAGAGCGCGGCCATTTTACCGCTGCCGCCGGCGGGGCTTCGCCGGAGTCACGTGTGCTTTGTCTTCCTAGCTGGTCTCACCGGCATCCATCTCTCTTCCTCTCTGCAACTCCGGATGAAACGGACGACATACCCGGAGCAGCCGATGCCTGCCTATCTCGCTTGATCAGCGCTGATCCTCTCTATTCTCTGTACTCTGCTCAGGCTCAGAAGCAGACGTCTGGCTCCATTCTGAAGCCTGCATACGCAGGTGGCGCTAAATTAGATAATAGCACATATCCTAATTTCCGCATCTGTCGGACAACAAATCCTGCTGATTATCTGCAACCTTCAACTGACTATTTACCATAAATTACCTCATACATTAAGCTTCATTCAACATCAACGAAGAAGCGTCGCTCTTGCAGTCTCATTTCAATTAACAATCCTTCCCACGATCATGATTAACTATTAAACCATACGTCCTGCTTTTTTAACAACAAATATTAATATAACCACTTTATTTCACTACTTTCCTTACACTGCTTGTAACAAACTTAACTATGATTTACACATGCATAAGACTAATATAATTGTATACATTAAGTTATTCCAGTCAGATTATTGAATTACATCACAATTACGCAACTTTATATCAAATTCATACTTATTTAGTTAAATTTAACAAATTACATTTTCATAACACCAATGGTAACAAAAATATTGCATCTTACTGAAATTTCACTTATCGTCAGCAATGAGATCTACCATTTCTTCAACAGTAATAATCATTATCAAATATTAAATTAATTTATTACTAAAAATTAATTTGTAACAAATTTACGGACCAAAATAAATTAATCAGCAAATTATTGTTGGTCATTCGCGTTATAAGATTTCAAAGCTGCAAAAATAAAAAAATATTTGCAAATTAATAAAGAACATTATAAGGATTACCTAGTTTGTTACAACTTTTTTTTATCGTAAAAGCAAATATACTTATCATTTTTTTGAATTAATGAAATGATTTCTCACTAACCCTTACGAAGATAGGCAACCAACTGTTACTGTTATTTTTCATCATTCAAGAAGCTTAAGTAGTGTTTGTTAAAATAATTCATAAAGGATTAGTAAATACATATGCATATTGTCTATATTTATGCCTATGTTGTTGCTTTTATATTCCAGTAATAATAATGTAATACAAATTATTACATAATTAAAAGTGAAGTTTTGTTTACTTTTTACCTAACGAGTTTCATCCGTTTCAAAATTTCCAGATTTTTACTCGTATAGTTTCGTAACGTTTCGTTATGCGAAACGTTGCTCGTTAAGCGAGTCATTTTTCTCGTTCAAAATGCTCGTTAAGGTTCCACTACATAATAAAAAATATTTTATGTAATATTAATTTGTATAATGTATTGTCAAAACAGACACGTACATTCATAATTTATTATAATTTACTTAAATATTTAATTAAAATATGTAATATTTAACAATATTAAATTTAAAATTAAATTAAATTATTTATAAGAAGATGGCGCTTATTACAAATATTAACATCCAATTATCTTAGTAACTAATTAACCAAATGTAAGAGTAATTAAACGAATATCATTTGCATTAGTATGTAATGATAATACGTTTATTGCTTATATTTATATTTAGGTATTTAATGAAATTGATTTCGACAGCGCAGAAATGGCTGAACTATAAGCTTCATTGTATTGAGAAGAGATGGGACAAGCTGTTATAAAAATTTGATATTTCTTTTTGCGCCTAAAGTTCAGGCAACACAACATGCATACCAAAAAATATATAAGTTTCTTAATTCAAAATAAGCAAGTATTACATGAATAAAACTATTGATGGACTATTAACTATTATATAAATCTATTAGGTGTGCCATCAACTTCTTCCACGGTTGTTTTAATACCAAAGCTTTTTTTTTTAATAAAAGAAATTTCAATTTATTTATTGATATAAATCTCTCCGGCCCTATTTCTACCCCTTTCGGGTTTAACAGCCACCACAAATTTTTGTTGGTTTTTCGGAATTGAACCAACGACCTTTTGAATCAGATTTTCGTGATACAGGCGACCATAATACCAAAGCTTATAGTTTAGTCAATTTGGAGCTTATATGTGAAATATTATTAATTAGTTCTTAACTTATAGGATTTCATTTCTTATTTTTAATTCAATTAAATCAAACAAGAAATTATTTAAATCTGTTTAGAATATTGTATTTCTATAGTTTAATAAAACAAATGTTAGACAACCAAATTTACAAATACTAATTATGACATTAAACATAACCTTTCTTATTCCATAACTGTTAGTGCACAATTTTAGGGTTTGTTTTGTATAAAAATGTTACAATCTCGTTTGGTTGCGGCTTTGAAAAGCCTGAGTATAGGCCAAGGAGTTTGTAGAATCAGTGCTCAGCCCTTATCCACTACAGCAGCAAAATGTAGACAAGTTGAAGATCGCAGGGAGATGCTGAAGTCTTTGCCTGCAATTGATGAGGGTACATCTGGAGAGAAAGCAGTTGATATTGATTCAATGATACACCAGTAAGCAGATCTATTTGCATGCATTTGATGTATAGTAAATTGAAATGTTTTCAGTAAGGATATTTTCCCAAATTTGGACACCCCTAACATGATGTTCAATGGGACCCCATTCAAGGAACTTCCTATATTTAATATCAGAGTGTCTTCAAATAACACAGTTTTCAGTTTAACAGATTATAAAGGTATATTCTTGATGTAATAATTATGTTATGCATAATTTACATACACTTTTTTTTTATAATAGGAACTCCAAAGATAATCAGATCATGTGGTATTGAGGGATTCAAGAATGCTAGGAAAGGAACAAATATTGCAGCTCAGGCTACTGCTATTAGTGTAGCAACTGTAAGAATATTTGATGGGGAATTGTAGTAATGGTTGTATTTACATTTTGATTTTAGAGAGCTTTGGAGAAGGGTATTAAAACAATTCGCGTTAGAGTTAGGGGAATTGGACCAGGAAGAATGGTATAATGAAACAATATTTAATAATTGTCTTTCATAATTGTATTTATTTTAAATTTTAGTCAGCAATTAAAGGACTGCAAATGGCTGGAATGGATATAGTGTCAATTACTGATAGTACACCTGTCGCATGGGATCCTCCAAGGCCACGAAAACAGAGGAAGTTGTAAATTATAAATTTTGTACAGTTTGCGTTAATAAATAGTTTATTTGAAAGTATTTTGATTGTTATACATGTGTGGTTTATCAACTGAAATGATAATTTCCAATTGAAATATTATATGTTTTCTGGGAAATTTATAAAAGTTGGTTTATTAAAAAAGGTGTATACATATATTTCAAAAATAAATACATAAAATACACAGTTGGACTAAATAAAACTAAATATCATAATAGTAATATAATAAATAATTATAGTTTAGATCAATATCGATTCCGTTTGTTTCCGTTTCAAATAAAATACGATACGTAAATAATTGGCAAATTGGCACAATTTTCCTAAACACTAAATGAAACAATATAAATAAAACATAAAATACGATGCGAATAAAGATTACGGGATTGCATAGAGAACCAAAGGGAGTGGATATTTAGCGCGGAGCGAGAATGTATTTTCAGAGTAAAGTAAATTTCATCTCCGAGTCCGTCAGTCGTCGTTTTAAATAAATGTAAGCTATTTGGAAAATAGTGGAAATTAATCACTTTGTGTGTATAGAGAAAAAAAAATATAGAGTAACATATGATGATGCGTAGACGTTGTCCAATTGATCATCAGTACAAGTAGTTTTTGGGGATTTCGTTGAGCGGCTCAGCACATGTGCCCATATTCTTCATCTGGACCAGAGATCTGGAACGACAGTTCTCCAGTTCCAGGAAGCAGGCATTGCTGTAGGTCATATTGTCCGTGCCGCAAACTGGGTCATAGTAGTCGGGGCAGATCTTCTGGCATCCGCGGAAAATGAATCCGGCGAGACAGCGTTTCAATGGCACCACGTAGATGTGTTTCCTATAAATAAAAAGAATGAAAACACCAGATAACACACCTCGTACACCTATAATTAATGTTGCAGGTAGAAACCGTTTCTCGGTTCCATTTCTCCTTTTTGTATGAGTGCTACTATCATCATTTCGTGTGGAGCGAAGCAAGACGGAGAAAGAAGAAAAAAACATTACCCGCAATTATCCCGCTTCATTTGGCACTCGCTTCTGTAGATCTTGTTGTCGGAGCCGCAGACGAACTGCCTCTCGTTGGCGTCGCAGCTCTCGTTGCAGGAGGCCGTCGTCCTGCAGTGCTGTGCGGGAACCTGAACCACCAATTGTCCGCAGGTCTCCTTCTTCAGGTCGCACTGAGACCTGAAACCGTAATTACGTGATTAGCCGAAAAACCGGGGACGGACAAAGAATGCCGAAACTGCGAGCGCTTTATTTCCTGAACATGTTATATAAATCATCTTTTGCCAAGAGGAAAAACGAACGAACGTACATTCATTTTAATGAAAGGAAACGAGATACCCGAAACGGCGATCGTAAAGAATACAGAATTCTGAAACAAGCGAACGTAAAGAACACTGCGATTACAGCCGCGCGATGGACTTAAATACGTAAAATGTGGTTTTAATTAATTTCGAGAATTCGTGGTTTTTAATTGGCACGGAATCCGGGTCACTCTCTTGTTTACTTTATGATTGGTCGGATTCATAAATTTTACACAACATATTCCAATCTTCCATCGCCTTATTTTTTATGATCACGGAACGTTTATTTACTACTCACTTATTTTTTATAATTACACTACAATTTTATGATGCACATGCAGTTTTTTCGAGAAATAAAAAGAGTCTTTAAAAATAACTAATTAAATATCAGTTAGTAAATCAATAAAAGTGTGATGTAAAAATGTTGAACCATAATTAAATGATATACACACGTACCATAGGTTTGCCATCACTGGTTTATAGCAAACTTTATATTTAAGGACACTAAATTGAAATTACCTAAATTTTGATAAAAATCTGTGTTTGTGAATTATTTTAATTACTTATACTTTTTATAGTTAATCCTCATTTAAAGTTAAATATAATATAATGGGTGTGCAAGTAATCATTCATTTAAATAACTGTGAATGTTTATATAAAAATGTGATCGTTTAATTTAAAAGCAGAATTAACTGTGATTAAATATAAAATTTATTTAAGTAATATTGAAGTTCTGAATCTTGTGTTATAAATAGTAGTTATTTTCTTTAATTGTGTCAATAAAGAGCGAGCGCGGTGCTATTGTAATGATACATGATGATTCCACGATAAGCAAGAGTTATGTAAAGAAATAAACTGGAATATGCAAAACGTAAGGCGTCCTTGCGTGCGTCGGTTATCCACTACGTTTCTTCATGTTCCTTTTCTTTGCGCTGACCATAATAAAGCTGGCCAGGCTTATTGAATAAGTGACTGATAATTTTGATATGATCGCAAGAAAGATGGGACATTAAGGGCAATTCTGCTTGGCAATTTACATAATTTTCATTTTTTGTTAATGCCCAGGGAGCGTAGCAGCGATGGCCGTTAAAAAGAAGTTCCGGTTTTGAAAACCGCAGTTTAGCAAAACACACGTCGAGCTACCGGTCTTGTGATAATTAACGTGTGCTCATTATATCGATAACTATTTTTCATTCCATATTTTAATAAGGATTCGATTTATGTTACCTGTAAACGTTACCATCCGATCCGCAGATGGGTTCGCCGCCTACGTCCGTGCAATGATCCGGACAGGGGTTCGGTTCCTTCAGGCCGGTGCAGTTTCCGAGATGCGCCAACTGGACACCTTTCAAGCACGTAGCCAAGTTCAACAGGCACTGGTTCTTGTAAGTTCTCGCATCCGTCCCGCATACAGGATCCGGGTCGTTCGAGCACTTGATCTTGAGGCACTTCTGCAAGCGGTTTCTGCACTTCTCGAAGTCGACCTTAGACACCCTCTTGTTAGATCTAGAAAGAAATGTTGCATTACAGTACTATGTAATTATAAGGATGCTGATATTGGGTTACCCGCAGTTCAGTAGTTTCAATTCGCATTCGCTCTTGTAGATTTGTCCATCGGAACCGCACGTTGGTCGCTCCGGTTCGTTGGGGCATTCGGAAGGACACACTAAGCTGCTGCGAGTCCTCTCCTGTCCCTCTTGACAGTAAGCCATTGGCACTTCGAAGACGTGTTTGCTAAAAGTGGTGGATTAGTTTTTACTTAATTTAAATGATAACTTGTGGCGAATTTACCCGCAATTCTTAGACTTCATCCGGCAGACGTTCGAGTAGATTTTCCCGTCGGATCCGCAGGTGGGTCTAGCGTTCCTCCAGCAGGATTCGCGGCAGTGGCGTGTCGTCTGACAGTATTTCTTGTTGGTACGAACTACGCCTTGTCTGTGGGATAAATATTAAAACAATGAACGAGGGTTATTTATGATGAAATTGATGAATTACCCGCATGTGATCAGCTTCATTTGGCAGGTATTCTTGTAGACGTTCCCATCGCTGCCGCAGATTGGACCATCCTGAGGCGCCTGTTTGCAATCCACCGGGCAGTTTTCGCGATGGGCGCTGATGTTGTTGCACGACCCAAGGTGCGACATATCTATTCCCAATCTGATAATAACAATAATAATAAATTTAATTTAAGTGTCGAAGAAGTATTCTCAGGTAAATGTTACCTGCAAATTTCGACCTGCAGCATGCATCTGTTCAGATAAGTGCGGCCATCTGTGCCGCAAACCGGGTCCTTCTCAGAGCTGCACTTGTGCTCGCATTTCGAACCCGAAGACCTCTGACATAGACTAGGATCTGCGGAAAGCTTGACACCTGGAAATACACGAACGAAGAAGGCGCGAAGATTAAATCATGGAGCTACGAAACGCGGACCAGTTTTGCTTGCTTTTACCTTTTCCGCAAGTTTTCTTCTTCATCTCGCAGATGTTGGGGTAGATCACGGCGTCTGTTCCGCACACAGGATCTCCATAACCGTGCGACGCGCAGATCCTCGGACACGAAGAATCCCTTACACTTTCGATGGCTGAAATCAAAAGATACCATAATTAATATCTGCCACAACAATAACAACAAAAAAAATAAATAAACAAATAAACAAGTCGACGTGTGTGTTCTTATTACTATATAATTAGCCGCGCTTTTGTTGCTGCTTTCTTCCTCATCTTCGACTTCCCAAGAAGGTGTCGAGGAATGAAAGAGAATTAATCACCAATTTTAACCGGCCGACTAAATTTAATCTTAAGCCTTGGAATTAGAACGATTGCTCTATTATAGGCTTAAAGGTCATAAACCCGTAAAAATCACATTCATAAGATTCAAATAATTAACATTTTTAACACTCCAAAATTACATTACAAGCCAACTTGATTATATTATTGAGAAACACAATTTAAAAAATTTTAAAACTGTTCTACAGATTTTAATTAATAAAAACTATAACCTAATTTCTAATATGTATAAAATTTATAGTCATACCTCTTTATAAATACTACTGTTAATTATAAGAATTTCAGAACAACAAATTTGTAAAAGTAATTACTAAACCAAACTTTTTTTTTGGTCATAATTGAACTAAAATATAACACTATAAATAATCGGATAAATTGGTACTAATAATATAAATCTAAAAGATTATAGCTTAGTTTTTTTTTTATTATAATGGAAAGAAAAGAAGCAACGGTCCAGCCATTCCGTGTTTGCGTATTTAATTTTTCAATAAAACCCGTAATTTTGAAGAAAAAAGTTGTTAGCATGTGTTAGAATCAATTTGAAACGTATAAATAGAAGCATTGTAAATTAATGCTGTAAGATAAATATTATTTTTACGGTATATTACGATACCGTTACGATTCTTCCACTTCGTATTTTTTTTCGCTCTTCTTTCTTCAGACTCGATTTAGTAGTTTTACGGAAAACGTTTTGTTTGTTTGTTTGTTTTTTTCTAGTTTGTTCCATTTTTTTTATAAGTAGCGAACGTTTCTTTCCGAGCAATTAATTAAATCGTTTCTCACGCGGCTTCCTAGATCCGAGCTTGCACCGAATCCACGAGTTTAATGAAGCTTTTCAAGTGCAAAAAAAAGTTGGAGTTGTAAGTATGCGGCATGTTCCTCGAGAGGTCAGGGTTCTTCGGCGGAAATTACAGTTTTTTTTCTCTCTTCATCTTGTGTGCATAATCCGTATTGGAAATACGGGAATTCGAGGATGCGAATTCCAATTCGCGTGTTATTCCGCACGGACTGGACGGAATTCCTCGGCCAACACGAACGACGACGTCTTAATGTTCATCTATAAGATCCGCATCCTGCATTATGTATGTGGTTACGGGTGTTATTCATCCGTGTTGTTCGGGATCAAAATGCAGAGTGCTAATCGTGAGCAGTTTGCTTCGATAATGAGCGCAGTTCGAGGGTTTCGGTATTACGTAAGGCGAGCACAATGCGAATTTTATCCGTTCCGACCAAATAAGTGAATTCCTCTATAAATGGTAAAACGCGACTTCCTACAAGTAATTGTAATCGAGTAAATGTTTACATTACATCTTATGTTTCTGTTGTCGTTGTTCCTTGTATTTTAGACTTACAGGACGAGAATTCCGCCGTTTAATTTGCCAGAACGTAAGCCATTTAATAAGATCAAATAAAAATCGAGGAGTAAACAGAAAGGCTCCATATTCCACGTCAGCTATTAACTTATTTTTTTTATCTTCTTCTACTTCTACAATTAAATCGTTTCTATCATCTTACGCGGAGGTTTATCGAACCTTCGTGCTTTGTCGACTGTGACGAACTATTTCTGAAACATTAATTAATGGACTTCCAATACTCTCACACAGCAAATGCAAACAGAACGTCGACGAGATTATCTATGGTTCGTAGAGACAATGTGGAAAACGCTCTATTAAATGTACGGTACAAGGAATCCCATTTTCTAACTGGCTAGCTAACTGAATAACCAACTAACGAACTCTGCTCTATCGAATCGTTCCGCTTAAATCATTCCGCCGAACCAAAACACCGTCCACACTAATGGATATAAATTATTTTCTTTGCTAATCTCTTGATTAATGCGCTTACACCTCGGCTACGTTCTTCAATATTCCACTCTCTAACGACCGTTCTTACCTTACAAATTACAATTTTCCATTCGTGCTTTTCTTCTGTACCTGATTTATCTCCACCACAGATTATTTATTTAATCAGCAAAAATCGCCTATTTAACATTCAGTTTACATACATTGTTCGTACTTCTCAATTTATTTTAAACAGATTCACAATTAAAACTACAAAAAGAAATCATTCTTTCAAATTATGACTATTCACAATCATTTAATAAATATATATAATCAAAAAAAATATAAAGTAATCATTTATTATTAATACAAAGTGTCAATTACTAACAATAATTAATTAAAATTATAACTAAGGAATGAACAGTAATTTTTGCTATTAAAAATTCTTTTATCTAATGCAGCTGTCGGGGAACCGGAGTAAATTACCCAAAATGGGGTAAAAATGATTTTTTTTTGGGTAATAGGGAAATTTTCCTAATTTCATCTTACCGAACTCAGAGAGCGGTTTTCTGACTACTTTTCAGATCTTGATATACAAACTGTAAATTGGGTTGTAAATCCTTTTAAATGTAAAATTACTAACATACCAGAAGAACCTCCAGGTTTGGCAGAGGCAATTCTTGA